CACGTGACTATGGCGGACGCTACGCATATTAAATTTACCTGGGAACACTCGCGAAATTGTCTCACTTTATTCGCCCGAACACAACTCCTCAACCATGTCGCGAATTATAAATTTCAGGACAGGAACAATAAAAATTCATTACATGAAAAATTACAATCAGCAACAAAATATTTTCTGTCGAAAATATCAGGTCGAGAAAGTCACAAAAATCAAGTCACAAAAATTTATCGTGTCTCAAAGTTTCTCAACGAGGCCCCACGTTGGGCGCCAATTTTTATAACGAAATTATTTAATTAATTAATGTTATTAATTAATAACCCCTCTTAATTGTTACAAAAGAAAACCCAACGTGATTATTGTTAGACGCCAGCCAATTTTTAGATGGAATTGGCAAACCAGAGAAAACACCAAAATAACCCCAAAACTCAAATCAGTCAAATTGAAATCTCAGAGGAGATTCTGTTGAAAACGAAAGTCGCAAAAAGGGACACGACCCTTGAGACACGACACAACCAAAATTGGACTTACCCACGACGATCAAATATCAGCACCAGCTTCCTCTCGGCAGGTCCTCGTGTCGATGAAACTCGCCGGTGTCGAGAAAAAGGGGCTGATAAATAAAACACTACTTTTCTATTCTTTATTTATTAGTGAGTCGAGCTCGATCTCGACTCTCTCTCTACACACTACAATTTTCCTCTGAAAACACACAATATAACACTCAAAAACTCTAACGTGGACACACTACAGTACCCCTGTACTCGCTATCTCGCGTCCATTGACAAAATCTATTGAATCTGCTCTCTCGATCCCTTCGTCTACGTCTCGTTCCATGAGTGGCCGCCGCGATGGCGCCACCTCCTGGACTCCTGCTTTGTCTCTGCTTGTCCATCAAACCCCATTACGCGCGAAACTCATCCCCAGTCAAATTCACCTTGTGATGAATTTACTTCGTCACAAAGCTTAAAGTGTGCACTTTAAGACCCTTATGCGCAAGTCAAAAAAAACTTAAGGGATTTTAAGAAAAGTGGGGGTAAAGGGCACAAAAAAAATGCGTTTTTTTATTTTTTTACCCCCACTTTTCTCAAAATCCTGTCGTTTTAGGCCATTTTGGAACCCGGGATCGTGTTCAGCGCACAAAAATACATAAAAAACCACTCCGATATAAAGTATGTAAAAAAATTTTTTTGGGGCTCTTTCCCCCCACTTTTCTCAAAATCCCTTAAGTTTTTTTTTACTTGCGCATATGGGTCTTAAAGTGCACACTTTAAGCTTTAATTTAAGACCTAGTAGAAGTTTCTAGCACGTCAGGTTAAGGAGAGAAAAAATTCTCGAAAACACTCAAAAACACGTTGTTTAGGCTCTTTACCCCCACTTTTCTCAAAATCCTGACGTGCTGGGCCATTTTGGGACACGGGATCGTGTTCAGCGGACAAAATTACATAGGAAACGACTTCAATATCAAAAATAAAAAAAAAAGTCGAATTTTGCAGGCCTGTGTTATCTTTCACGGGATCAAAAATATCAAATCATTTTTAAAAAAGGTTTTAGGTCCGCACATAAGGGGCGCATGATTCTTTGGCATTTAATTATCGCCTTATAAAAACGGCACTGAACGTCAAAATGATTATTACATTGATTTTAAAATACTTTTTTCTCGAAACGCGGACATTTTTTTCAAAATCGGACAAAAAGCGAAGGATTCTTATCTTATAAATTTTTTTAAATCCGAAATATTGTGCAAATCTATATACAAAAATGCGATTGTAAAATGAAAAGTAGGAAAGTAATATAATCCCTACTAGAAAAAATCGATTGAAAACGATTGAAAACAATAGGAAAGAAATTTTTATTATCCCCAATCGTGTTTCTTAAGGTATTAGTCGCGTAAAATCATTTTCGTCAGATATTTTTTAAATTTTGCATGAGTGTTTCTGACATAATTATCTACAAAATAAGACCAATCCCATCGATTTTGACCGTTCCTAAGCTTTAAAATATCATTTCAAAGTTGATACTTTTTACATGGACGGAGCACCTAATGCATGTAAGGAATTTGCTTTATAATTATTTAAATGAAAACCAGTCGTCAGATTTTAAAATAAAACTACCACATAATACATTCTCATGAAACGAATGCATACAAAAAAACTGAAATTTTTTGACCGTACCAAACTATAAATATATTAGGAGAAAGTTAACAAAATTTTAAATTATATGAAGTTCCACTGCTGGAAAGCAGTAAACTTGGCAACGCTGTAGCGCGCGAATGCATACAAAATTCAAAATCATGCAAAGTACACAGTTAGAAAGTAGGAATATCTCATAGAGTAGAATAAAAAAATAATATATTTAAAATTTCACAACATAGATTAGTATTAAATAATTCTTAATTTTTTAAATTAAATCATATATTTTAAGAAAAATAAGAATGAGAAACGTTAAATTGGTTGGTTATATTTCAACAGTTAAGAAATAAAAACATTTTTTGATGAAATATTTATTTTTTACTTTATAAACCAATTTATAATACATTATTGATGTAAATATTAATTATAAATAACTAAAAATTAGTTTTCAAAGAAGCATACTTGAATTTTTTTTAATAATATTCACATCTTTAATTATTAATTATTCTTAGTAAGTCTCATACTTTTAAAAAGTTTAAGCATTTATATACATAATTATTAATCATAAATAATTCAAAAATAGCTTTTAAAGAAGCATATTTGAATTTTTTTTAATAATATTCAGATTGCGACGTTGCCGCGATCAAAACTTTAGTTCTACACGTGCGATAACGCGGCGCTCTGAGTGGAAATTAAGGCCTAAGCAGAATAGATTCTTGAACGGGAACGCAATCGTAAACGGAAACGTAAGAATGTGTAAGACAAGGATAGCAAATATCTTTATTCTTCTCTCACCAATTCTTACGTTTCCGTTCACGATTGCGTTCCCGTTCAAGAATCTATTCTGCTTAGGCCTTTACCTGTACCCTTCAAAAAGTTTGACTCAGAACTATACCTCTTGCTAAGCACAGACTGAGTCAGACTCAAGACAAACTTTTGGTTAGAGCCGGCGCGCGACTAATACCTTAATCGTGTTCTCACAACTGACTTTCTTATTATATTCAATCGTTTTCAATCATGTTCTATATAGATTGTATTGCATGGACTATTGTTTGGCGGGAGTTTTTGAAAATTTTTAAAAGTGCAACTAATTAAACAGTCGAGAAAAATATCATTGTTTCAAAGATTATTTTCCGAACTAAAAAATTAAAATATTTATCAATGTATATTTGTCACCAAAGAAGAAAATCAAATATTTGAGCAAAAATTAATTAAAAGTTATTTTTTTTATTTATCTTTGAATAAAGCTGCACAAAACGAAATGTTTATAATTTATCCAAAAAATGTTTAAAAAATAATTTTTAACCAATACATCAAGTATTGTTTTAAATTGAAATATTTATTAATTGATGAATTTTTTTTTAAATTTCAGTAAATATTGATTTTTTTTAAATAATTCAATATTGGAATATCTACAATAATTTTAAGATTCTTTTTAAGAATTTTTAAAGAATTTGATTACATTTTTTGAAAATATTTAATTAAAAAATTATGGTTATTTGTTTTTGCAGAGGTTCAGGTGAACTTCGAACAAAATTTATATTGAAAAATTTTTTCTTAAATTTCTTTGAAAAGTTGCTGGATACCTACAATTTAGAAAAACTAAAAATTTTTGTTCTAAAAAAATGAAAAATTGAAATTATTTTAAAATGTAAGAGATATAATTTTTTCTTATATTTATTTTTATATGTTCCTAATTATTTATTTAATTTCCGGTTATATGTATTTTTTACGTACCTATTTATTTATTTATTTCTATATTTTTGAGGTTATGTATTATCAACACAAAGGTTGTCATACTTGATTTGTTCATATATAGGATAAGTAAACATATTGACATTATCCATATCACTAAAAATTTTACTTTATATTTTATATATTTGCAACATACGCACTAACAGAACAAACTATATATTACAAAAACACTTAGAAAAAATAAAATCTTTCCTGTTTGATTCAACACTATTCTTATTCTTATTATTAACATTTGCGCATGTGCGTATATTATCATTCTCCCGATAGCACCCGATTAAAAACAATTGAAAAAGTCTAACTTATTTTACACGATTGAAAACAATTCGAATCAATGGAAAAAATATATTCTCCAATTGGAAACAATTCAAAACAATTAAGAAATTTTTATACTCAATCGTTCTGAATTGTGTTCAATTGATTTTTTCTAGAAGGGATGACAGCTGCGACTTTGTACTCCCTGCTTGCATCTGCCACCTAACGGCGGCGGGACGTAATGAACGTGTCATTATATTACTTTCCTACTTTTCATTTTACAATCGCGTTTTTGTATAGATTTGTACAATATTTCGGATTTAAAAAAAATTTATAAGATATATAAGAATCCTTGGTATTTCGTCCGATTTTGAAAAAAATGTCCGCGTTTCGAGAAAAAAGTATTTTAAAATCAATGTTTATCATTTTGACGTTCCTGTTGAAAATTCCGACCTCGTTTACGACGTCGTATTCTAAGTAGTTTACGACGTAGTAAACGACGTAGAAAACGACATAGTAAACGACGTTGTAAATGAAAGCGGAATTTGGGATAGCAAATGACATCGTTTACTACGTCGTTTACTACGTCGCAAACTACTTAGAATACGACGTCGTAAACGAGGTCGGAATTTTCAACAGGGTGCCGTTTTTATAGGGCGATAATTAAATGCCTAAGAATTTCAGAGACCGTTCGACACTCTTGAAAAGATATTCTGCCAAATGGTAATTCGAAAAATGAAATTTCATTAAAAATATAATTATATTTCACAAAAATTATTTAAAATGAAAATTCTTACCATTATTGATTATACAAAATATAATCTGTGTGTAAAAAAAGAGAATTAATCATTTGAATTAAATTAGGATATAGATTATATTTTATGGACTGGAGACTTACCACCTCATGATGTTTGGAATCAAACAAGGGAAGAAAATATCAATATTTTAAGAGAAACCGTTCAACAAATGATTGAACATTTTCCAAAAATACCAATTTTTCCATCTCTAGGAAATCACGAGAGTGCTCCAGTTAACAGGTAATTCTATTAATTATAATTATGACTCACGGATAAAGCATAACAAATTATCAGTTATTTTATATATTTTTAAATTAAAAAAAAAAAAAACAAATAATTCAACAATAAGGAATAAAATAACTGAAAATAATTTACGTAAATAGTTTTTGGGATCTACTTCAAAGATATAAACAAATATAAATAAATAGTAGGGGGCATGACAAATTATTTAAGGATTTTTGAGTTTAAAAATATTAATTTTGAAAAAATCTTTAATATGGATTTACGAAACTCTTTTTTGGGATGTTTTAGAAAAAAACCGCGGGACGTGACAACAAATAAAAACTTATTAAGCTCTGGGACAAATATAATATTTTTATTTGATTCAAATAAATTTTATTTATCTCAAATAAAATCCAATAAAATATTTATTTTGCTATTGTTTTAAATTAAATGAAATATTTTTATTTTCAAATGAAAAGTTGAGATGTACCTGAAGTTTTGAATGTTAAAATGAAGGAAATAATTTTTTTTGTGTATAATTTTTTTTTTAAATTAATACAGCGTTTTGTCTTTAGGATTAATAAATATGGTCATGCCTCTTAATTATATAGTCACTATTTCTCTATTATATTTAATTATTCATTTTTATTAATATTTAAGTATATATTTTTCTCAGCGTAATGTTTGTATTAAGATATTATAATAATGTTAAAGCATAAACTATATAATACCAATAAATTAACTTGAAATAATGTTTTTAGTTTTCCACCAGAATTTATAACCGATAACGACAGTATATCTTGGCTTTATGATGAACTCGATATACAATGGAAAAAATGGTTGCCATCAGCAGTTTCTCATACGGTTAGAAGAGGAGCTTATTATTCAGTTTTAGTTCGACCTGGTTTTAGAATTTTATCTGTAAATACTAATTACTGTAATAACAAAAATTGGTGGCTACTTATAAACAGTACAGATCCAACCAATGAATTACAATGGTTAATTTATGAACTTCAAACGGCTGAAATGAATGGTGAAAAAGTTCATATAATCGGACATATTCCACCTGGACATTCGGATTGTTTGAAAATATGGTCGAGAAATTATTATCATATAATAAATCGGTGAGATATGGGGAGAAAAATTCATTTTTTTCAAAAATTTTCAATAAATAAATATTTTCTATTTATTGCATGTAAAATTTAAGAAAATCAATTTTTAATGCTTTTAATATTTAAAACCATAAAAATTGAAAAAAATAATTTTTGACAATTTTTTTTAAAATTTTTAAAAAATTTATTTTTAGAAGAAATTGAAATTTAAAATCCATACAATTGATTGTTCAGAATAATGAAGAATAAAAAAAAAAATTGGTAGTGAAAAATAATTAAAATTGTAAAAGAAGTTCAAATTTTTAATTTTTAAGAATTTTGAGTTATTTACTTCTGTGGCGAATAAATTTTTAAAAATTAATTTAATATTTGTGAGATGTATTTTAAAATAGAATTTCTTTTTTTCTTGTAATTTAAATAGGTATGAATCGACAATAACAGCGCAATTTTTTGGTCATACACATTTTGATGAGTTTGAAGTATTTTATGATACCACGGATCTTGGAAGAGCATTAAGTATAGCTTATGTGGGACCCTCTGTTTCGCCTTATTACGATCTTAATCCTGGATATCGAATATATTACGTTGACGGCGATCATCCACAGACGACGAGGGTGAGACAAAAATTATTATTTTTCTCATTTCTTAAGGCTTATTTGTCATACTGAAAAAAAACTTATTTGATTCAAATAATCGGTTACTCGACAATTTATTTGTATTAAATAATTATTATTTGAGTCAATTAAATGGTATTTATTTTAAAATACAAAAATTATTAGTTCAAATACAATTTATTTAATTCATATAAAAATTATTTGGTTCAAGTAAATATTCATTTAATATGTAAATGATTATTTGAAAGAAATAAATTTTTCTTTTCAGTGCAATATTTCAATTTTTCTATATGGGGCGTTCAATGCCAAACCAACATATCGTCAACTTTAACCACTTTGATCTGGCTCAATTTTTTTTACCGTTTTCTACCCTCTAAAAAAGAAATCATGATTTTTTTCAAATTTTTTCATCAAGCCATTTACGAGATATGAATTTTTCAAAATTGGAGAATTTTAATGATTTTTTATTTTTTATTTAATCATGAAGGCACTTTTTTGGAGGGTAAAAAACGGTAAAAAAAAAATTGAGTCAAATCGAAGAGGTCAAAGTCGACGATATGTTAGTTATTGGCATGTAACGCCCCTAATACTGTAAAGTAAATAATTTTATCTGGAAAGTAATAAAAAAAAAAAATGTGATTGTAGATGGTCGTTGATCATGAAAGTTGGGTGATGAATTTGAAAGAGGCCAATTTATATGATTATCCATTCTGGTACAAATCGTACAGTGCAAGAAAGGCTTATCAAATGTCTTCTCTTTTGCCAAAGGATTGGGATTCTCTAATTGATAAAATGTCAAGTGAACCAATGACATTCGACCTTTACTACAAGTAATAATTATTTCTAGTTTTCATTATTTTTTTACTTCTTATAATGAGAGAAATTTTCACCGAATTTTTATTTAATTAAATTCTGATTTAATAGAATTTCGGGACGCATATGAATTAATTCTGAAAATGAATTGTTAGAATTTTATTTGTTCGAATTATTATTTTTGCAGAATTTTCATTAAACCAATTTTCATTTATTCGAATTATTATCTGATAGAATTTCCATATTTATCAATTTTTCATACCAATTTTTAATTGATAGAATTTTCATTTGTCCAAAATTGCAAATAGTCGAAAAAAAATCGAAAGAAAAATTTCGGCTCGATTTTTAAAATCAACCAATCAACAATTATATATGTATAAAAATGTGATTAGTTACTTTTATAAATCGCACCCTAGATCTTTCTGCAATTTCTGGCAAATGAAAATTCAAACAAATAAAAATTCTTTGAAGTAAATTTTCGGTTATATAAAAATTCTATAATACAGAAAATCGGTTTAATGAAAATTTTGCAAAATAATAATTCGAAGAAATATTTTGTTTTCAGCTAAAGAAAGTTATTCTAATTTTCAAATGCAAAAATTTCCATTTGTCAGAATTTTTAATTTACAAGAATATTGTTAAATAGAAATTCGGACAAATAAAGATTCGTTGACTGGAAATTTAAATTTTGAATATCTTAAAATTCTACATATTATTTTTTCATTCATTCTTAACAATGAATTTAATGAGATATATTCATGTTTATTTATTTATGTTTTGTATAAAAAAAATAAATTACTATTACTCAATAAAATGTTTAATGTAAAAAAATTTTTGACAGACATTATTACAAAGATTCGCCAGTGAGACCGGCATGTAATGACGAGTGTCGCAAAAGGCTACTTTGCGATTTAAGAAGTGGAAGAAGTCACGACAGAAAGGCTCTTTGTCAGAGTCTTGAGTCAAGAATTGATGGCGAAACAAAAGTTGGCTGGCGAGCGTGGATCTATAATGGCCTTGCTCTTTCGTATGTAAAAGATTGGTGGCATGATACATACTCATCAAAATCATAAAACAATAATTATTTGTGTGTTTTACAAAATCAGACATTCAAAATATACATAAATTCTCATTTCTCACATTAATCATACAAATTAATACTCTTGGTGATTGTATTAATCATTTATTTTTCTACTAACATTATATATATATATAAATATTTAAATATAACAAAAAATGTAAATATATTACTAGAAACATAATGAGTTTTGGTTAACTAAAAAGAAAAATTTGGTTCTTTATTTCAATATTGGTTAAAATAAAGTTTATTTGATGCAAATAAATATATAATATTTATATTTGCTAAATAATGATTACTTGAATAAAATAAATTATTTTCGTTGTATATTATGTTATCAATGAATATTTCTTTTTTTAATTAACAATCTAAGTGAAATAAAAAAACATTTTTTTATTTTACAAAATAATATTTTAAAAAAAGTATAGATACTGCAACAGTACAAGATGTTGCTATGTTCACAGTGATAATATATAAGTACACCTATATTTCGCGAATTGAATTTATTTTAACAATCATTTAAGAAATAAGAAAAAAATATCGCATAAAATGTAAAGAAAAATTCTTTTTAATAAAATTAAAAACATATTGATCTCAATAGAAAATTTAAATATATATATTTTTTTATAGTATTTAATTACAATGAAAATAAATTAAGAAATCAAAATAAAATATGGGCGATTCCACGTGAGATTTACGATATAACATTTTAAATTCGGTAAATATATATTTTTTTCGATCTTTATAGAAAAAAAAGGTTTACGTATTTTTTAATTTTTTTTATAAGTGCTTAAATTTTCGAGTTATGAATTTTTAAAAATCTGATTTTTTCGATGTTTTTTGAAATACATTTAATTTCAATGACATATGTAATTCTAAAAGTATTAAATTTAGGAATTATGACCAAGATACAAAAAAGTTTCAGTTTTTCATGTTTATAAAAAACAGCGATTTTTTATAAACAAATTAAATTTTTTTAAATTTAAGCGCGATTTTTTATTTATTTTTTTTATTCTTTTATACACATGAAAATAAGAGGAAAATTTTGTAATAAGTTTTAGAGTGGGCCTGATGATCCTTTTGTTTATATAATTTGTTAAAAAAAATTTTTTTACTTTTTTTTTATTTTTTGAAATGAAAAGAGTTAGATGTCATTGAAATTAGGTGTATTTTAAAAAAAACTCGAAAAAATCAGATTTTTAAAAATTCATAACTCGAAAATTTGAGCACTTATAAAAAAATAAAAAAATACGTAAACCTTTTTTTTCTATAAAGATCGAAAAAAAATATATTTACCGAATTTAAAAAGTCATATGTAAATCTCACGTGGAATCGACCATATGTAAATAAAGAAGGAGGGCCTATAAAACCTGCTTTCGGTCCCCTTGAAATTTTCATTCAAGTAATTGAAACTAATTTTCGGCAAAAGAAAAATTATATTTTTGATGATCAAAGGTTGAATAGGGTTTTTTTGGGCATATTAATCCCTAAATAATTAGGATTTTTTTTTAATATAAAAAATTGCTCAAAAACAAATAACAAAAATATTTTTAATTGTGAAGCAATTGGCTTGAAAATCATTACTCGGGGGTTTTCGAGGTCGCTGATTACGAATCTGATGATAGTTTTCAAAAATTCAAAATGGCAGAAGACTTTTATAAAAAATTATTTAATTGCCTTGATAATCGTCCGCTTTTTGAATTTTTGAAAAACTAACATTAGATTCGTAATCAACGACCCCGAAAACCCCTGAGTAACGATTTTCAAGACATTTAAATAATTTTTTATAAAAGTCGTCCGCCATTTTGGATCCGCCATTTTGAATTTTGGAAAACTAACATCAGATTCGTAATCAACGACCCCGAGAATACCCAAGTAATGATTTTTAAGCCAATTGCTTCACAATTAAAAATATTTTTGTTATTTATTTTTGAGCGATTTTTTATAAAAAAAGAAAACTCTTATTATTTACGGGTTAATATACCCAAAACAACTCCATTCAATCTTTGATCATCAAAAATATAATTTCTCTTTTGCCGAAAATTAGTTTCAATTACTTGAATGAAAATTCCAAGGGGTCCGAAAACAGGCCTTATAGGCCCTCCTCCTTTCAAAAATTTAAAACGTTAAATTTATTTTGAGTGATTTCATAATCGATTATCGTATATAAGTACATATATTTTTCAGGGGTTTCTTTGCGAAACAAGTTGCAACTTGATTGTGCAAAAATACTGCTAAATGAAATTACGTATATTACTAGAGCGTTAAGGAAATTTTTTTCTATTATTACTTGTAAAATTTGTTTATTATTATATTAAAAATACATACCCAGTCAACCGGGGCTATTCTTGTACAATCGATAATACATTCAAAATAATTAATATACGAAAATTCTTTTCCTAGTAAGTAAAAAAATTTCCTGTGCTTTGATTTTATACATAATTGACATATTTTTGTGTCAGAAAATTGAAAATAAGTCAATTATAATTTTACATACTTATCCTCAAAAAATAAGATTATTTATTTTACATGGCTCACAAGTTGAATTAAAAACTAGATTTAAAATTTATTTAAAAAAACAATTATGAGCCTTATTAACTTATTTAAAGCCTAAAATGTGACAATTAAAAATTTAATTTTAGAAAACAATTATTCCTCTAAAAAAATTCAGTAATTGTAATGAAATTCCTATGATAATAATAATAATAATAATAATAATAGTAATAATAATTTTTTAGCAACTTTTTAAAATTTATTTACAGAATGTGTAGTTTAAAGTTACATAGTCTAATTTGAATAAAAAAATTTTTTATTTTATTTTATGAACAAAAAACAAATGTTTGAGTTTATAAATAAATTTTTTTTCTAATAAAACATGGAAACACCCTGTTGAAAATTCCTATGTGAGAACACATATGGGATCACATCCAGGATCTCTTGTGAGTTCTTATGTGGGTTCCCATACAGGTTCACACATAAGATCCTGTATGAAAAGGTTCCTGGGATGAACTTGCGTGAGATCAAGCGCACGATCTTATGTCTCTGTAAAAGCAATAACACAGGATCCCATGAGGTTTCATGTGTAGGTTCCTATATGAACAACACGATAAATACACTGTTAAAAATGTTTGTAGTTTTAATATACATAAAGTACTTAAATTTAAGAAACTGGTATATTAGAGTGTAATTCATATACAAAGTATATTAAATTTTGTCATTGAAAAAAATTCAAATAAAAAAATTGCATTTTACTCAATTTATACATGTTCTTGTGTACAAAATAAGGTTTTTATTAATAAAGCAAAGTAATTTCTTTCATGTAAATACAAGTTTAAATCAATTTACATTGTAAAAATGTATATAATTTGACATTTATAGTACTTAACCTAAATGTCACATATAAGTATTAAAATTCTTGTATTTAGAATGTTTTTTTTGAAAAATTTTCCCCTTATAAAACATTATTTGGACATAAACAACACAATAGTTAAAGAATTACGCACTGTTGTTTCAATTTCAAATAAATTTTCAATATCAAGGAAATAATGACCGTTTGGTGAAATAGGCATCTACAGCCGCCATGTTGTCACTTTAAATTTAATATACATGTATCTTAGATTTCAATAACTGTAGTGCATATTCGCTTCATACGCATGTATATTAAATCTAATACAGATTTTTCTAACAGTGTAGGAACACACATGGGATCTTATCCGAGATCCCATGTGTGTTCCTATTTATCGTGTTGTTCATATAGGAACCTACACAGGAAACCTCATGGGATCCTGTGTTATTGCTTTTACAGAGACATAAGATCGTGCGCTTGATCTCACGCAAGTTCATCCCAGGAACCTTTTCATACAGGATCTTATGTGTGAACCTGTATGGGAACCCACATAAGAACTCACAAGAGATCCTGGATGTGATCCCATATGTGTTCTCACATAGGAATTTTCAACAGGGCAATCTTTAGAAGAATGTCTACAACACGAATAAATAGTTTAAAATATTTTTCTATAAATATTAGAATTTTGGTTAATAGAACAAAAAAATTGCGATTTTTGTACAATAATAATATAGCCCCGGTTGAAGGTGACAAGTTATTTAATTTCTCATTTCTGTGACATTGAAAAAGAAATTTTATTCAAAACATTTATTTCTAACAAATAAAGAAACCTAGTTTATGGTGGTGATGAAATTATGGTGACGGAATATATATGGTGATTGGATTCTCTTTAATTGACTGTGAGTAAAATAAAGAAATTAATTTCAATTCATTTTGCATGACATAAATTAATATATTTAAGAAGAAATGATGTGTCTGAAGTTCTGATTTATGTATTATACGTAGAAAACCTCCAGAAAAGCACTTTTACCCATCTCAGTCTGGCCACGAGTGTAGTTGGTTTGGTTTCCATTGTCCCCAATCGCCATTTGTCATAATTCTCGTCAACTACCGCACCCTTCTCTAGTGAAATTTTAGTAACTTTATAGTAACTTTTAATTTTAACAATATACATAATCACTAAAGTTTCACTAGAGCAGGGTGCGGTAGTTAACGAGAATTATAACATATGGCGAGTGAGAACTTTGGCGAGTGCGGACAATGGAAACCAATCAGTTTACCATGTAAATTATATCAAAATCTTGAATTTTTAAGGAGCGGGAGGTTTCATACTGTATAATATACGTATTTTATATAATGCATAATTATTGCATTAGGCTGCAGTCCCATGACAGCGTTTTGCGTTGTGTTTTGTCACTAGACCCTGAGTGTAAACATAGAAAACATATATCTGCATCTCTTATACACTCATGGTCTAGTGACAAAACGCAACGTAAAACGCTGGCCATGGGACTGCAGACTTATACGTAAACAATTAAAAGTTACGCGTAACTTTCACTTTAGGCTGGTTCCAGAATGGGGCTAAACGCGACGCAGCCCCATTTGCTTAGGCTGGTTCCACAATGGGCTTGACGCAAGGTAAACGCAGCGTTGACGCGACGCATCCCCATTTGATTGGCATTGGGATGCGTCGCGTCAACACTGAGTTTACCTTGCGTCGAGCCCATTGGGCCCTTTCCAGAATGGAGCTAAACGCAACGCATCCCCATTTGCTTAGCATTGAGATGCGTCGCGTCTGCGTTGCGTTTAGCTCCATTCTGGAGAGGGCCTTGTGGAACCAACCTTAGCATTGTGATGCGTTGCGTTTGGCTCCATTCTGGAACCAGCCTTAAGGTGCTTCTACAACAACTTGTAATCTGTATTTGCTTTGTATGTGAGTTGCTTGTATGCGTGCGCAACAAATTTTTAGTTTTCAAAAATTAAATTAATTAATTAATTTCTAATTAATTCAATGTTAATTAATCAATAATATACATGACATTGATTAATTTTTAATTCACATGTATAGAGCAAATCGAAAACAAGTATAATATACAGATTGCAAGTTGTTGTAGAAGCACCTTTATAATATGGAAACACATCCCTGTTTACAACTTTTGATTTTCATTACCTTGTGTAAAATTGGTTGGTTTTCATTGTCTCTACTCGCCATTTATCATAAACCACATAGCACGGCTTCTTGCTGTGAGGTTACTGTAAAGGTACTTTTATACCTCTAGTATTTTGGTCAAGCAATCGGATGGATTGAATTTTCACGGAGAATCACTAAATTTGATTGGCTCTAAAAAAGTTCAATTTTCACGGTGAAAATCTAATATTTGTCAGAGCCATTCAAATTCAGTGATACAACCGTGAAAATCCAATCCAGCCGATTGCTTGACCAAAATACTGGAGGTATAAAGTCGGTTCTCCAATGGGCACGTTTGTAAGCGAACGTGAACGTGTACGTGCTGACGTCACAATGTTGTGCAAGTGGGTAACGTCAGCACGGTACGTACACGTTCACGTACAAACGTGTCCATTGTAGAACCGACTTAAAAGCACTTTTAGGATATCTGTAGGGTTTGTAAGGTTACCGTGTCAGCCTACAGTAAAATTGAGGTTAACTTAAAACTTCCGTCTTACAGTAAGTTTACACAATAAAGCTAAGTTAAACTTACACAGTGAGGTCGAGGTAAGTTTACGTGGTAAGGTTGCTGTAAGCTTCTTTTAAGATTACTGTAAGGTTGATGTAAGGTTGCTGTAAGGTTACTGTAAATATAGAATGTTGTTAATAAATAAATTTTATTAATATTTATGCGCAGTAGTTTTCTATGGCACATACGGCTGCGCAGTAAATTTTATTTAACAAACCCTATTGGGGTTCATGAAGTACTTTACCAAATATATAATTTTTTATAAAAAAAATTTATAATATAATATATATTATAATGTAATTATTTTTAATATATTTTCATATTACTTTATGTTCACAGTAACCTTACGGGAAGCTTACAACAACCTTACCGTGTAAGCTTACCACAACCTTACCATGTAAACTTACCACGACCTTCCTGTGTAACCTTACCTTAGTTTTACTGTGTAAGCTTACTGTAAGGCGGAAGTTTTAAGATTACCTCAAGTTTACTGCAGGCTTTCACGGTGACCTTAGTAACCCTATACAGATATCCTTATAGTAACTTCACAGCAAGATGTTGTGCCATGTGGGAATTCTCGTAAACTACCGCACCCTGCTCTCGTAAAAATTTAGTAATTTTATAGTAACTTTTAATTTTAACAATAAACTCACTAAATTTTCATTAGAGCAGGTTGCGGTAGTTGACGAGAATTATGACTAATGACGAGTGGGGACTTTTAAAATTTTGTTCTGAAAAAGTTATAGTATATAATATAATGCAACGTTTGAAATAATTCAAAAAAAAATTAACAATAATTAATTTTCAGGATGTCTGTTGTGATGGCCATTCCAAAATTTGCCCTAAGTATACCACAATACGTCTACAGATTGGGCTGACATTCTTCTTCTATTTCTCTATATTATGAGAAAAAAAGTAACTGAAATTGTGATCTTTATAAGTGTAAATATTAATATAACAGAATTTTTGTGAGAATGTTACGCGATTGATACCGCAATTGTTAAATTAATTATATATTATTGTTCATAAAGAAGCAATAGACTTATGCGCGCAACTGACTGTTCTCATTATATATATATAATTTTTAATTTGCTCGTTACATCACAGGAGAATATTTTAAATTTCATTTTTTTAAACACATATATATGGGACAAAATTCCTGAAATTTCCGAGTCAAAATTTTAAAATTATAGAATTTAGAAAAAAAAATTTTCATTTTAAAATATTTGCTGATTAAAAGTTTGAACCTGATTTTCAAGAACAAGATTTACACCCAAAAAAATATTTCTTTGATTCAAAAAAATCAATTTTTTTGACAAATTTTTCTTTGATACAAAGAAAATTTATTTGTTTCAAACAAATTATCTTTGATTCAAAAAAATTATATTCGTTTCAAAGAAATTTTTTACTTTATTCAAATAAATGTTCCTTTGACCCTATATCAATGTTAGAATTTCTTTGATTTAATGCACAAATTTCTTTCATTCAAAAAAAATTTTCTTTGAAAGTAAGAAGCTTTTTTTGTTTAAAAGAAAATTTTATTTTGACTGAAAGAAAACAAGTCAAATAAATTGATTTCTTTAAATCAAAGAAATCTTTTCTCTTGGTTTATATTTTTATTTTTTTAAAAAACTTTTATTACCAGTGTAACATGCAAAAAGACCTTTATAAATATTGTTGTATCTTAACTTTTATACATTTTACTTAAAAATATCGTAAATTAAATAAAAAAATTTCTCAAAAAAGTCGAATTTTCAAAATTCTATAACTCAAAAAAATTTTTTATTAAATTCAATATTTGGTATTTAAACTGACACAAGACATAACAACATTTGGCAAAGTTTGAAGTAAAATTCGATATCTTTAATTCTTTGACTCGAACTTTTCAGAAGTTTTACCCTATATGTATATGTGTGTGATTATTGCATAAACTGTTATAAAAACAGTATTTATTGGAAAAATTATTTAAATACATACAGATAAATGGAAATTTGAGAGTTAAATTTCTCCAAAATAATTACACACATAATAATATTACAGTATTTCAACATTTTCAAGCAAAAAAAAAAAAAAGTATAATGTGATGATAAAATAATATTTATTTTTAAAATAACTAAATTATTCAAATTGATATTAAGTTTGTAAAAATTATAAAAAAACGTAATAATTGTTGATAAAATCATAAATTATTGATAGGAGTACTTTTATTTATAATAATTTTAAAAAAAATAGTTGAAATATTAATTTTATAAAATAGTTGTGATTATATTTTGGTAAATTGTGAATTTTTTCGAAACTTTGTTTAAAAAAAAAAATGTTATATACTCTGGAGAAGGCGATTTTAAAGCAGCCATAGAATGTACATATTTAGTAGTAGACGATTATTTATATTCACATAATTCATTGTGTTATAGATAATATTGTTATTATAAGTATTAAAAAAGTTTTGTATTAAATAATTCTGTCATTTTTATTATCCTTTTTGTTCTCCCCAAAAAAATATTAATTAAACTTTTCATAATGATTTACATTTATTCAATATACTAAAATATAATAATAATCGATTCTTCATTTATAATTTATTAACTATAGTGGTTTATTATAATACTTTTCAGTAAAAAATTATTATTTTAAAATATTGCATTTCCGCTCTGGATTCATTGGAGAATTTTTCGAACATCTAAAAGCTCGTGAAAATTCTTCACTATTTGAAACTGCTCCATTTATTCGAAAATATGTTGTTGAATGTTCATCTTTTTTTCTCATTTGTTCTCTATATTCGGGCGTTAAACTATCGCAAAATGTCTATATAAACAAAAAATAATTCACTTAATGAAAAAAAATGAAAGAATTTAGAAATTTATAATATTTTATTGTTTTGTATAATTATAATTTATAGAGATTTGTATGTAAATAAATAAATATTCTGCTTTAAATAAAAAATTAAATAACTTAATGAAATTATATTTAATTGTGTAGTTTAAAAAATTTTTTTTAAATATAAGAAATAAACTCACAGAAGCAAATGAAATAAAGTAGAGTTGTTTTCTACTTATATTTTGAAGTCCAGGAAGTATTTTATCATTAATATTGTGTTTTCTTATTTTATTTTTGTACACTTCAAACGCCGTTATTAATCCAGCGGTGTCTGCAATATTTTCTCCTTCGGTAAGTTCTCCATTTATCTTTGAATAAGATATTAAAATTTTCACTTTAGAAATTTAAAATTATTACTGAATTTTGAATAATAAAATAGACCCATAAATAGAAGTCATCAAAGTTCAAACACATTTTTAATAAATAATGCAGTTCACAAAATATACGAAACACTCGTGGAAAGATATGCCTACACTTTTTTGTCCTTTTCTAACGTACTTGTTGTCATGACAACATGTGAGTTAGAGAAGGACAAAAAAGTTTAGTTATATACGGACAAGTGTGTACATAATAGAGTTTTATACGTTCCCAACCCTGGTGTAGGAGAAGATGGAGAAGTTTCACATAAAAGACGTTTCATTTTTCTAGAGTAACTCGCACCTATCAAAATATTGTTTACGACAAATTTCAGTTACGTTTGTTTGTATTATTTATTAAAAATATAAATGTTTATTACTAAAAACTTTAATAACTGCTATTTGGGGCTATTCTATTATTCAAAATTTAGTTTCCACTGTCGGTGAGTTTTTTTACATATATATATATTTGTCAACACGAAAGAATATTTTTACAAATATCGTTTCATAGCATCATATGTGCCACTTTTATCTTTCATTTACAAAAAAAATACAAGTTGATTGATCCATTTTTCACGACAAAATCTGTCGATTACAAAATGTATTGCAAATTACGATAAACTTAAAATAATTTTTACAATCTCCAACACGAAAAAATAGTGAAACTGTCACTTTTGCATCTAATAGAAATTATTTATATTTATATATTTTCCAAGAAAGTTTATAAATATTATAAAATTTATTACTATGTAACAATAAGTACTTTCCATGTACTTTCACATATGTTGGCTTTTTATTTTTATAATATAGAAATATGTGAAATTTTATCTTGAATGTTGAACTTTTCAGGATTTTATCAGATTTTGAACATTTATAACTTCGCAGGCGATTAATGAAAAAGTCCCATTTTGGTTTTAAAATTTAAGTTAAATATTCTTTATTCATCTTATCAATATGTAACGAATGTAAGTAAAAAAAAATGTGTGCGGATTAGCTCGCCGTATCAGGGTTTCAAATTTCAAAAGTAAAGTCTTACATTAAGTTACAAATTATCCATAATTTATTATTTACACTAGATAAAATTATATTTACAAACTAAAAGGAATAAGCAACATTTACAACTATATTAATTAAAATTAAACAGAACGGAAATAATTGTCGAGGGGTGTTGCGAGTTTCTAAAAAAGAAAACGATCGTTTCGACTAGCGCGTGTTTCGTGAAAAAAAGGGGACTCTATTCTTTTTGGAACCGTGTTAAGAAACGCGAGGGAGATAAGCAATACTTTACGCTATCATTGAGTGAAACTCAATGACATTCGCCAAAGGATCAACTTATTTAAATTTCTTTAATGAGTGAAACTCAAAAAAATAAGGGAATTGAGTGATACTCAATTCCTCGTTATAATAATTGGGTGATACCCAGTTATTGTAATGTTTAAAGAACAGAAAAATAATTTTCTACGTAAAAGAGTTTCAATCTAAGTGAGACTTAGATTGAAAGATCGTTGCTGTCGTTGTCGTCGACTCTGCGTATTCGTGGCTATAAGTGGAGCATATATGTCAGGCGTTGGTCTTCGATGAAGCTCTAGAGTGAGACTCTAGTCTGCTGTCGATGAGTGAAACTCAGCGAATGAATTTTTAACTTCGAAACGCCGATTTATATACCCGCTCGTGGGACGATCGATGGAGGAAGTAAATAGACAAATCTGCGCGGAGCTACTTTGATTTTGACTAGGCGACGCGCATCTTCGGAGGGGGATCTCGAAGTCTTGCAACCGTTCCGTGGTGGGAGCTTAAGGTCTTTCTTTAACGTCCGTGCGTTTCACCTAGTCGTTTCGTTTTACATTTTTAATCTTAGTATAATGACTTTGATCTGTCACTTTTCGTGGTCACCAAATTTTTATATTCTTACAAATATTTGGTGATAGAGAACGAGCTACTTTTTATTTTTATTCACTTTAAAAAATCCACCTTAAAATACGAATTTGAAGGTTAAAAAACAAGTATTTTTATAAAACTGAAGTTGGTTTTCTCAATATAGATTTATTTGTATGAATTTTATTTATAAAAATACTTGTTTTTTAACCTTCAAATTGGGATTCCGATTCTGGACGTTGTGCTGTTCAGATCGGACATTTTGTCTGTTTTTTTTTGATTTTGTTTAAACTTTTTGTTTTTTTTGTTTTTGCATTTTTTTTTATGTTATTTTTGAGGGAATGTCCCTCTAGATGCTTTTAAGATAATTTTTGTTTTTGGAGTGTTTTTTTTTTTTTTGGAGTGTTTTTTTTGAAGTGCTTTTGCTTTAATTTGCCTCATTTCTTTGAAGCGTCATAGAACAGTGATCAATTTTAAATCCATCTGTATTTAACAGATTAAATATGAATCGCTTTTAATAATAAATTTTTAAGCGTTCAGGGAATAATTTTTCTCTTGTTCTTTGCTTATTTTGCAATTTTGCAAGACTTTTGTGCACGTGGTTACATAACCTTAAAGGGCCTCTTGGTTAACCTCAAAATTTTTGGAGTCAATTAAGGAACACTGTATGCTGTCTATTTAGGGTTTTACTGATGCTTTTCTCTTCTGTATCTGGATTACATCATTTTATATCTTGCTGCATTATGAGGATTATTGGACATAAATAAAATTGGATTGATACATGGATTTTTTCATTTCTGTCATGAGGACTGCTGTTTGGCTGCTTGCTTTTCCTTCCAGATTTCGCACGATTTGGTCTGCTTCTCAAATTTAACCTTTTTTCCTTTCTTTCAAATTTTATTAAATATATTGTAAAGATTTTAGTTTTGAGTTAAGCATTCATCTTTTTCAATTAAATTTCAAACTTTAAATTTAAAATTAAAATTTTTTTGGATTACTCTTAATTTTTAATTTAATTTTTCTTATAATTTTTGTCAATATTAATTTTTTTTTTTTTTTTCTCTTTTATTAATTTTATTATTTAATTTTTCACACAAATTATAAATTAAATTTCAATTCAAATATTTTGTTAATTTAACCTTTTATTTATTTACTTATTTATTTATTTATTTTATTTTTTTTTTTTAAGAGAAATGGCGGACTTGAAGGGGGTGCAGGAGGAGGAGTCCATGAATGTGGATTTGAGTGACTCTCCTACGTCACTTATTAATTTTAATGTAGAATCTCCAAGTGTAGTCACTACACAAATACCTCAGTCATCATCATCTTTGTTGATGTTGGCAGATGCCGCTAATGCCGCCAAGCCAGATAAAGTTATATCTAATTATGAAAGTTTTTTTCTAAAACATTTTGATACCCTTCCTCCTTTTTCTGCTTCTGGAGATATTGGTAAAAAGAGACCTCGTGATACCAGTCATTCACGAGACTCTAATTCCACTAACTCTTCTACCTCAAATGATTGCAATAGGCCTGTTGGCAAAAAAACTCCAATTTCTTCAGAATTTAAAATCGATAATGGCCCTTCAGCTTCTTCTGGTACTGTATTGAGGGGATTGTCTACTGGTCTTTCTGCTCCCTCTGGCTCTAACGTAAGACCTTTGACTTCCTCCAATATTGGACAGGATGGTCGAAATGATGATAGGATTCTTTCTAATCAATTAAATCAAGACTCTTTCTGGTTTAATGATAAATTTGGTGATATTTCTAAGAGATATAGCTCATTCAGCTCCCCCCCATTTGTTGTTCTTATGGAGAGTACCGTCTCAGGTCGTAATGTGGGAAAGTTGGATCCAGTTTGTGTTCTCAATTTATTGAACCCCTTTATAAACGGAGAGAAGTCAATTACAAGAAGCGGAATTAACCAATTGAAAATTACATGCGATAACTGGTTGAGTGCTAACAACCTTATTGATAAGAGAGAACTTTCTCTGGCAGGTTTTAGATGTTTTATACCAGATTCTTTTTTGGGAAAGAAAGGTTTCACTACTCTATTTCCTATAAGTAGAACTATTCCAGAAATAGTCTCTTTTTTTGATAGTCCCACATTAAGCAACATAATTTCTATAAAGAGAATCTTTAATGGTCAAACTCCGACTGACCGGGTGGAATTTACTTTTTGTACTAGGGCTGTCCCAAGCTGTATTTCTATGAGTGGCTATGATTTACAACTAATTCCGGTCATACCGAGACCAAGAAGATGTTTTAAATGCCAAAGATTTTGCCATACCCTCAATCAGTGTCGATCTACATTCCCTTCATGCGAATTTTGCGCAGGGAGACACCTTACAAAATTTTGTCCAAGAAAGAATGCAAGACCTTGTTGTAAGAATTGTAAAGGTCCTCATATTGCTTCATCAAGTGAGTGCCCGATTTTCGAGTTCGAATTTAGTATTCTTAAACTTAGAACTACCCTTGGTTGCTCTAGAGATGAGGCGAGATTGATGGTCTCTTCGGAAAATCCTGATTTATTTAGTGAGGTCCTTCCGAGGGATGACGACTCCCTTATTGACTCCTTTAATAATGATATTGCTACACTTGTTGAGGGAGATCACACTGAATCTAATAATAACCCTGCATCTTCAACACCGGTACGCGATTTTGTTGGATCAAATGTTGAAGGGAATCAGAATTTCAGGAAACCCTTTTCCCTGCTCGAGGTCGCTGAGTCTCTTGGTGATGATAATCTGACGAACAAATTGACTGCTGTTGATGAACTGTCAAATTTGAGTCAGTCTAAGTTGGACCTTATAGATTCGATGCGGAAAAATTTGTCTTTTTAACTTTCTTGCATTTTTCTATATGTTCGTTGATTATTCATTTAGCGTTTACTAAACTTGTTTAAATTTTATTTATTTATTTTTTTTTTTTTTTTTTTTTTTTTTTTTTTGAATCTCTAATGGTATATTTCCATTATTTTCTTTGAAGGGGAGAATGAGAATGAAATATTTATTATTTACATACTGTTTTATTGATCTGTTTAACTTTGTTTTTTCTTTTTACTTATTTTATTTTTTTAT